TCTGGTGTGCCACATAGTGTTAGTCACATATATATACACATATATTTGTTTTCATATTCTTTTCCATTAAAGGTTATGACAAGATATTGAGCCATGCTATACAGAAGAAATTTGTTTTTATAACAAGTTAACATTCAAAATTAATAAATAAGTTAATAATAATCTCATATTGTTCATATCTACTTATTCATACAAACCATATCAAAGTTTTTTGTACTGCCTTAAAATTAGTTTGCCCTAGTTTATCTAAGTCAGTATCCAAGCTAGTATCCTATATTGCGTCTGGTTGTTATATTCCCTGAAATTCTCCTTATTCTTTCCATCATCCTGGTATCCATGAGACAAGACCAATTGTTCTGCAGCATGTTCCATCTTTGCATTTGTCTGATTGCTTCCTTATGGAGTCATTTAGCTTGCTCTTCCATCCTTTGTAAAATAACCCTTCATTTTGGCAATCAGCTTTAGTGAATGGGCATATCTGCAATCTGATCCTGGCATCCACTTAACATTAATCCATTACTCACTTTAAAGTTTCATTTCATGCTGGTACAAGATATCCTAAGCTTACTTCCTTCCCTAGACCATATTTCCAAAGAAGCCTGATGTTTTTGAGTGACAAATGTTAATGGAGATGTTATATGTCTTCTTTCCTTGCATTTACTTTTGTCTGTTTTCAAGAGTTCTGCCTCAGTTTTCACTTGATTTATATTTTCCTGGCATATATTCTTCCACCCTTTTATTTTCAAGCTTTCCATTTAGTTAATTTAGAATAGTAAATATAAATATGAAACAACATCGGAAAAAAGTGTACCACTAAAACAGTATTAAAATAAATATAAATGTGTTAAATCATCAGTTAAAAGACAAAGTCTCTTAGAGGAAAACATTTTTAGAGCCCCAAGATCCACATAAAGTTTTCCTAGAACAAGAACACTATTCAAGAGAATATAACCCTGATCATCTATGTTTGTCTTCAGTGCCTCCAAAAATGGTAAATATTCATTTTTTAGTCACTGTAATTAATAAAAACCCACTAGCCAAACTGTATCTTAAGCATTTAAAATACTGATCTAATTTTATTTTTATCACATTACTGAATGATAAGAACAATTATGATTGACTCCATCTTACTGATGAAGATTGTGATAACTAGATAAGTTTAACAAATAGTTGTAGAGTCTTCTTCTAATAGTTATATAGAGGTCTCCAATTGGCATTTAATCTAGGTTAAAGCCTCTGCTTTAACAACTGCGCCTTCATTCTGTTTCTGATCTTATCAGGTGCAGATTCCACGAACGGTCAGAACTATAGCACAGTGTCTGAGTTTATCCTCGTCAGCTTCTCCAACTTCCCGCCAAAGCTGCTGCCAACTTTCTTCCTGCTGTACCTGCTGATGTACCTGTTCACACTCCTGGGAAACCTGCTCATCATGGCCACCATCTGGAGGGAGCACAGCCTCCACACCCCCATGTACCTCTTCCTGTGTGCCCTCTCCATCTCCGAGATTCTGTTCACTGTTGCTGTCACCCCTCGAATGCTGGTCGACATGCTCTCCACCCACCACTCCATCTCCTTCGTGGCTTGTGCCAGCCAGATGTTCTTCTCCTTCACTTTTGGCTTCACCCACTCTTTCCTGCTCATGATCATGGGCTATGACCGCTACGTGGCCATCTGCCACCCCCTGCGCTACAACGTGCTCATGAGCCCTGGTGGTTGTGCTCGTCTGGTGTCCTGGTCCTGGGCTGGTGGCTCAGTCATGGGGATGATGTTAACGTTGATAGTTTTTCATCTCACCTTCTGTGGGTCTAATGAGATTCACCATTTTGGTTGTCATGTGCTTGCCCTCTTGAAGTTGGCCTGTGGGAAGGAGACATCATCTGTCACCATGGGTGTCATCCTGGTTTGTGTCACAGCCCTGATGGGGTGTTTATTTCTCATCATCCTCTCCTACGTCTTCATCGTGGCTGCCATCTTGAGGATCCCCTCAGCTGAGGGCCGGCACAAGACCTTCTCCACATGTGTATCCCACCTCACCATAGTGATTGTGCACTACGGTTTTGCCTCCATCATCTACCTGAAGCCCAAGGGCCCCCGTTCCATGGACAGTAACACTCTGATGGCCACCACCTATACAGTCTTCACCCCTTTTCTTAGCCCGATCATTTTCAGCCTCAGGAATAAGGAGCTGAAGAATGCCGTGAAGAGAACCTTCCACAGAAAATTCTCTCCTCTAAGCTCCTGATGGCCAGGTTGGTGATGAAGAAATATGAAAGAAAGCCTACAATAATAAACCTGTCTCAAAACTGTTGTAAAGATTCAGGTGTGTGAATCTATCCACACCCCATAGGAGTTTGATGCATACTAGCTATTTCTTTATCCTCAACTTGTTTATCTCTTTTTTGCATAGACCTGAACCATCATGAACTCTTGTTTATACCTGGTGTGGCGAACTTCATCTTATTATCTGTGCCTTGGAATTGCTGTCTGTCTATAGGCAGGTGGGGTGCCCCAGATGGATGTGTCTAGGCACTGATGCCCATGGTTCTTTCCGAATAGACAAGCAAGAGTATATTTTATTTCCCTCTTCCCCATATAAGAATAAAAAGAATAACATAAAATATAATAAATACCACCCTAATACTGAGTAGCTTTATGTATGAAACACTGTGTCGAATGTTTTTTAATTATTATCATCTTAGTTGTAATAAATATAAAATAAGGAAAGTATTTGTTTCAAGATAATGGTTTATTATTTACA